CACCCCCATTCCCATCCACCTTACCCCCCAAGTTCAAACTAAAATAATTCAAAATTTTAAATATATGTAACATTCTAAATAATTTAAAAAATAATTATAGCATATTATAATATAATTAAAAATTTGTCATTTAACAACTTATCTAAAACATAATCCAACATAATATATAATTAAAAGCTTGTTTTCTTTGTAAATCCAATACAATATCATGTAACACAACATAATATAACATAATATAATTTAACATAAAAAAATATAAAAATACAAAGATCCACACTTTTATAAGCTAAAATCATGAAAAAATAAATCAAAAAACAAAACAATTTCTCAAAAATAAAAAGTCATTCAATAATATGTATATTTGTATTCATATCAACATATAATAATAATAATAATAATAATAATAATAATAATAATAATGACGATGATGCAAAGCGGGGTGGGGAGGGGCAGGATAGGAGTAAGTGTCAATACATACCCGTCTTTATCTCTGCACAGGTTTATACGGGTATTCTCGTATACGTCTACCAACTAATAGGTATAGTCTATATCCAGTCCAAACGAGACGGGTTTAAACGAATATTCATTTTTATCTGGTCCACTACCATCCCTAGTCCCACTCCACCAATGAACATTTTGTTTTAAATTTCGATGGGAGATGTTCGAGCTATCTTACTAATAACTTAAGTATTCTCCACATTCCACATTGATTCGATCAAATAAACATTTCTTTAAGTTTCTTAGGCAACAGTAATATTGCACAATAATTTAGATCCATAAATGAATTTAGTCCACAATATTCGCATGATAAAAACTAAGGCTTCATTGCGATAGGAAGGCTAAGATTTGACTACTTAATTCTCATCATGCAAGTATTTTAGGTGAAATTCAACCCCTAACTTTTGGCCAACTTCAAGAAATCTAGACCATTCTTTATGGTTGCTACGCCACTAGTACATTGAATATGGTGTGGTATTGGGGGTGATTAAGAAGTTTTGAACTTGAATTTTCGCTTGATTTCATAGTTTAGTTTAGTTTTTGACGAACAATATGCATGATGGTGCCTCTTTGTGGGTCGTGTTTTTGCAATCGGTCTAATCGACTCTATGGCCACTTTTCCTAAGCTTCATGCATCTGAAATGCCATGGACAAGTCTTTGAGTATCGTGGACAAGTCTACTTACATTATCTTCACTTGTTTTTACCTGCAAGTCTTAACCAGCTAATAATATATGTAGACTTGTCCACAATACTCAAAAGAGCTAGTCAAAATATATAGATATACATACACTTGTATCCAAAATAATGTATGTAGACTTGTCCACGATACTCAAAAATAAAATTTTGGATACCGTACAGACTTTTATCATATTTATAAATATTTTTTGTTATTATTGTGTTATAAAAATAATAATAATAATAAAATTAATAAACATAATTACTATAACAATGATAAAAACTCTCATAAATGTAATAAATCACTAACAAAAGTGATAATATATTTTTGTATAAAAAAAATAGTAAATATAATTACTAAAATAATGATAAAAATACCCACAATAATAACAAAAATATCTATAAATGTGATAAATTAACTACAAAAATGATAAATATTTAAAAATACTTATTAAAATAGTAAAACTTAAAGTTTTACAACCACCAGTACCCTTAACTAATTGATGTGTCAGAGATGTCATAACTACTGACTAACCCTCTCTGCCTCCTGGGTGTTACACGTGATGGACTAAAAGTGTATTTGATATATACGTTTTTAGCATAAACTTGGACCCAATGATTCCGCTTTTAAGCATAAATTTGAACTTGTTGATTCGGCTTTTAAGGATAAATTCGGAGTTGTTGATTCCGCTTTTAAATGAAATTAAATTTTGCACTTCCACTTTCAAAACAGCCGTATTTTAGTAAATAAGTTCAAAACGGTTGTAAATTGGTAAATAAATTTCAATTTTACTATACTTTGGTCATAGATTCCTAGTGTTTTGGTACAGAGGTGCTGGCTTGGGACATGGATGAACTAGGTGTGCACTACGTAGGAATGTAGGGGGGGGGGGGGGTGCACAGTGGGTTTTGCAGCAGGGATAAGGGGAGGTGATGGGTGGCGGTAGCAGTAGCGGTTGGACTATTATATTTGGGGCTAGAAGTGGCAGTTGGTTAGGAATTTTAGGGTAGGTGGGACTTGCTGTGTGGTGGTGTGTGCGGAGAGGAGTATTATTGAGACAAATTTTATTTGTGGTGTTTTGAGAGAAATTCAAAAATTATTTGCCCGTTGGGGTATTTATAATTTTGATGAGGACTAAGTGTTATACAAAATTAAACCTCATGGACAAGGACAATGAAGGATTCATATGATCTAGTACAAATGTTGGCACCGGCGTTGGGATGAGATGTTGAGAAATTAGGGTATGTGTCGGTTTGGGACGAGATGTTGCATGAAGTAAAGGACCATGAGAAACGGGTAGCACATTTGTATGTCGGGGCAGCACTACCAGGGAAGACTTGGATAGGATAGTGAAGAGTTTGAGGATTCGTAGGGACTGTCATGAGACTTTCAAGTATTTTAGTAGGGTGGTGGAAAGGGAGATTATTGTGAGGGATGTTGAACAGATACCATAGGCTTTTAGATGGTAATTGTACTTCTGGGGATTATTGATAACAGTTGACAGATATTATAGGTTCTTAGAGAAAAACAAGAAGTTTGATGTGCACTTGGATAATAGTCAGAAGTATTGATCTCGAAACTAACCCCATTACAATCAATGTACAATGTTTTTCTCAAGCTGTTAACTTGTATAGATTCTTCAGCCGCATGAGTTACCTATTCACAGCTTCTTGTTCATTGAAATACGCTGCTTATAATCCTAAGCTATTTAGAATATCCTGGATGGGTATAAAAACTATACATTTGCCACCAAGCCAGCTTTCAATAACAGGTATTCTACATATCAGTGGCTTAGACAGGCATTTTGTGGGAAATTTTTTTGGAGGACTGAGATAATAGGATTAAGAAGATAACAAAAAAGACCCAACTACAGAGATCAATGCTATATTAGAACAAGTATGGCATGCTATACAAATGGGAAATCTGCAATGTTCATATTTTTTGACAGACACCAAGAGGCCCAGCCCCATGGTTCTAAAGTAATCATGCAAGATTAATCATAGCCTACTTATCATGCCATAAGCTCAAGGCTATTGCCGCACCTCGAAATATTTAAACACATCGATGAAATGAAAATCTTCAGTTAAGGGTTGGCACACTTAGATCAAGCTTGTTGATATCCATATAAATCTTCCATACAAATTTTAAAAGTCAAGTTCAGAATGCACAATGGTGATCAATCTTTTTAAATATGTAATATACCTTCAACTTATTGGAACAACAATTAGACTGCTGCCGCAAATTATCACCTAACACATACTCTAAAATAGCAACTAGAAATCCAGTTAAAAGCTGTGACTGTGACTGTCCCCAACACATAAGTACAGGACGATAATCAGGGTCCTGTTTCAATGTAATTGAGACAAAGTTGTCATAAGCCATAAACATACGCCATAGGAAGTATCAAAAGAAACCCAACAAGGTGATGAATTAGCATGGAAAAGCTCTCCGATATAGATGCATTGCAAGACAAACTAATTATGAGCTTGAATCTCAGTAATCATTGCATCATCCACTTGAGATGAACACTAAAATATAAAATTCTGAAATGGTCATTGCCCAATCTGACTCCATCAATTGGGACAGATTAACATAAGAATAAAGCTATACATCCAAAATGTGCTTACCAAATGTTGTATACCAAATGATTTGGCGAAATCCTATGCATCAAATGTTTAGTTGGAGTGGGTGGAACTCACTAATCCAACTATCTACACTGATATGATATGCAAAATTTAGTAAACAATTTCGCAAGCATAGCAATGCACTTAACATCAGACAAAACTTAGCTTTACCCTTCGGCAATCAGCACTAGCAATAAAACCATAACTCTCAAAAAACAATTATACCATAATCCATGAATATTCCACAAAATCATTCATCACCCATCAGACACAAACAAACAAAAATCCCATAATTCCCATTTCTAGAACCCCAAAACCTCCTGAAAACCCCATCATTCTCCAACCAATTTAAAACCCCAATGTTCAAAATCAAGCTCAAAAAGTAATATTCATCATCTATAAAAACAAACCAGCAAAACCCACCAAATTCCCATTTCTAAAACCCCAATCCTCTAAACCCTAATATTCTCCAACCAATCTAAAACCCTAATATCCAAAATCAAATTCAGTAATCCAAAAAACTCTCCGTACTTCCACATTAAATCACTTCTCAGAGGCCTCACCTACCAGTGCGGTGGAGTACCAAGAAGTCTGGCCTGTTGCAATTCGAGCTCAATAAGCTGCTCGTCGCGACCCGTCTCGATGATGAGGGGAAGGGCAAGGATGAGGAAAGTGGTTCCGGCGATCCACGTGGCCTTGCCGGTGCTCTTCAACAGTCGCTTCGCCACATATGCTACATTACACCTCCTTTGCTTGCTCCTGTAGACGATCTGTGATTTGGATAGCCTTGAAGATGTTCCTTCTTTGTTGTTATTGTTGTGGGTATTGGTGGGCTTGTTGAGTGAGAAGCTTTTCACGCCATAAGAGGCCATGTGGGAGTGAGAGAGGGAAAAGTAGAATATATTACCGATCTATCCATTTTTCAAACTTAAATATCAATTTATTTATTAAACTATCGTTGTTTTAAAATCAAATATATGAAATTCAATTTCATTTAAAAGAGGGAATTAGCAAAAACAACTTTACATCAAAAAATGGATTTAACAATAACACCTTTATTTAAAATCAAATTTATCAAATCCGTTTTTTATTGAAAGCGTATCTATCAGATTCGCTGTTATGAATAAAAAACTGTAGCTATATTTCAAAGAAAGCGGACTTAATAATTTCGCTTTCTAATGAAAGCGTACATTACAATCATATATATTGCAGTTGAATTCAATATCAGAGACGGTGATGCACATGAAAATAAATTTCTGAATAAAAATATACCTTCACACTGTAATCTTCTAAAGAAAAGATTCAGTTCAAACTACTCGCAGCATTATGGGGATTCAAAATTGAAAAAATTTGGGGATTTTCAAAGTCACACAGTCATTAGGCAATAAGTATTGAAAATTTGCACTAACACTTGGGGATTTCTTAATTCAACATTTATAGGGATTGACCAATGGGAAAATTTTGCAATTACACTTGGGTTTCTTCTGAATTAAAGAGTCAATGTAGCGTACCTGCTTAAATAGAAGCTTTGTGTTTAACACGTGAACCGCTATCTTCTCTTTCATTCAGACCTAGCCCACGAGTGTGTACCAGTCTACTGCTTCAATCGACAAAACTAGAGCTTACAATGAAATCTCACGGTTGGAAAAATGTCACACCTCAACCGAATCTCACAGCTTTTCATTGATCCATAAGTCAGTTGTTTTCTTCGAAAAAACTACGGCTACGCTTGGATTTCATCAGTAAGGTTTGTGCATTATAAAGGCTAAGCTTAGGGGTGATGAAATCAGACACAATAATGGAAGAATGAGGAGGAGACAGTGAAGAGCGAAGAGAGGCGAATTAGACCTTCCACAGAGAAGAGAGAAGAGAGAAGAGAGGAGAGATAGGCGAAGTAATGAAATAACATAAAGGGGGCTCTGGGAGGTTGATATTCAAATGAAATCGCACTTACCAAACACACTTTCAATTTTAAAAACAAAATTGAAAACACAATTAACAAAGACGCTTCCACTAATAAAGTTGTAATTACTATGTCCGCTTTTTAAATAAAGTCGGACTTAGTAATTCCACTTTTAAACTAGTCCACTTTTAAAAACAAATTCCAAAATTACAATTATTCAATTAAAAACGTAATTGACAAATCCACTTTCAGTAGTAAAGACGTATTTGACAAATTCGCTTTTTGAGATAAAGTCGGAATTGATAATTTCTCTTTTAAAACAGTGGTAGTTTGGTAAATAAGTTAAAAATGGCAGTAGATTGATATTTTAATTTTTAGAAATGAGGTAGATTGGTAATAGATTCGGGAAAAGTAAGGAAAGCCTTAAGAATGGGGCTGATAGACGAACTTGCCTAGCTTTTTTTTTTTTTAACTGAAAAAGTTTGGGATTTTATTTTTTTTAAAATTTGACTCATTTATGTTTAGAAAATAAGTGGACCCAATTTTGAACTCAACTTCAATATTTACAAATAAACGAATCGAATAGGATCAAACTTATTGAAGTTGTTTTTTAAAAAGATAGTTTCATTCAAATTCATAAAATTTATCACTTAATCATTTAGATTCTATTATATGCAAAAACTTCTTAAAATTTATATGCATATAACACTTAGACCTTTATCATCAATGACCATTAATATATTTTTTAGTAAATTACACCAAGATCCGTTGAAGTTTGTAGGCATATATAATACTTAGATCCCTCAAGTTTAAAGTGTTATATTTAGACAAAAAATACTCTAATAAAAAAATAGAATATTAAATATTTTAAATTTTACAATCAAAATTCATGTTCTTTTATGAAATTTATTGAAATAAAATTAAAATTAAAAATTTAATTTTTTCTTACAAAATTAAAATTATTATATAATTATATTATCTATAGAAATTTAATTTGACTATTTAAACGATTAAATTAAACAATAAAATTATCTCAATTAAAGTTAGAAGATATTTTGTCTATTAGAGTTTGACTCTTTATTTGATTTTTTAGTTTTATTCCAATAGATAGTATAATTATATCCTAATTATATTTTTTTAAAGAAAAAAATAGACTTCTATTATTGATTTTATTTTAATAAATAACATAATAGAATATGAATGTTGATTATAAAATTCATGTTCTTTTATGAATGATTTAGACCTTTTGTTTGCTTTTTTAGTTTTATTCCAATAAATTGTATAATTGTATACTAATTAGAATTTTTAAAACAAAATTTGATTTTTTTTATTTTATTTCAATAAATGATATAATAAAACATGAATTTTGGTTGTAAAATCTAAAATATTTGATATTCTGTATTTGATAAGAGTATTTTTGATCTAAGTATAATATTTTAAACTTAAGAGGATCTAAATATAATTTACAAACTGATATAATAACGGATATTGACGACAGGGGTGTAAGTGTTACACGCGTATAAATCTTAGGATTTGTGTGTAATATTTCAATTGTCAATGAGTTTGAGTGATTAAATGACAAATCTCAAGAGGTCTGGAATAATTCACAATTTTTTTAAACGAGTTTAAAAAATATTCAAATTTAGTTCATTTAGAAAATGAGTGGAGCTTAAATAAGCTGAACTCAAGTAAAACTCGAGTAACTCAATTCAATATCAGTCCTAATTAGGAAAGATACCAAATACGAAAGAAATGAGAATATTAAGATAAAAATTAAAAATAAATATATTTGTGAAAAAGTGAGGTAGAATGTATAGTAAATAAATTAAGAATAAATTGACTTAGAAACATATTGGGAAAATTTTATTCACACCCCCTGTAATTAGGTCTAAATGGAATGACAAATCCTCCAATTCTGAAACTTCACTGTCACCTCTTGTCAGTGTTTGTCAGATTACGACGTTAACGACGATTATTAATTTATAAAAATATCTCTGAATATTTTATAGGTTAAATTTTATCTACACTCCTTTAAATAAACATAACTTCAACGACACTTCCTGTAAATAGACATAACTTCGACGACAGCCCCTGTAAATAGACTTATCATTAACAATACCCCCTCCTGATTCTAAAATTTTAATGCACTCTTTTTTAGTTTTATTGTATTAACCTTTAGATTCATCAATTTAATATTTAATTTTATCAAATTAATGTCTTTTATTTAATTTAAACTAAATTAACATTCCATCTCATCAAATCAACATAAATTGATATTTAATTTATCAAATTAGCATTTAGTTATATTAATTTAATATTTTATTTCATCAAAGTAATATTCTTTCTTTAATTTATTATTAAATTATTATTTAATTTCATCAAATCAACAACAAATTGACTTTTAATTTTATTAAATTAAAATTTAATATATTAAATAGAATATTAAATTCTATTAATTTAACATTTAACCTTATCAAATTAATGTTAGTTGTTTAATTTAACAGAACATTCAATTTCATTAAAACAACATTTAAATTTATTAAATTTCATTAAAGCAACATTTAAATTTATTCAATTAACATTAAATTTTATCAAATCAATACTGAATTAATATTTAATTTTATCAAATTAAAACTAAATTAATATTTAAATTTATCATATTAAGACCAAATTTATTTAATTAATATTAAATTTTATCAAATAATATTTAAATTTTATATATGAAGACTGATGTATAAAGAGTGATCAAATGATATTATGGAGGACAAACGATAGAAGAGAAGTTAGAAATAGATAAAAATTTGATATTGACTTTATCGATTATAATTATATTATAAAAAAATTAATTTTTACCTATAAAATAAGTTTAAAATCTTGTAATTTTTAACGAACAACAAAAAAATAGCATAGAGAGAACTTAGGTAATATAAGAAATAAGAAATCGAAAAGTGTACTCTTTACTCAACAACTTATAAGAAAATAAATTTAATGACTTAAAAGTCCTAACGGGAGTTTTGGGTGAAAAAAATTTAAAAAATTTGCATGAAAAAAATAAAAGAAATTGCATGAAAAAAATTAAAAAAAAAGTGCATAAAAATTTTCAAAAAAATTTGCATGAAAAACATTTACAAATTTGCAAGAAAAAAATAATTTTTTTTATCAACTTAGGTAGTAATCGATTACTTTGGAGAAGGAATTAAAAAATAATAGCCGACTTCAGTTCCTGTGTTTTTAAGCAACCCAAATCATTTTCGGCCTTCACAAATAACAAAATGTGTGGTATATATAGTGGAAAAGGGGTTGAAGACATTTTAGTATATTTACATAAGGAAGGGTAATTTTGATATTTTTAAAAAATTTATAGTCAAATTGTTACTTTTTGTACTGACAAAGTTAAAAATTACTGTTAAAAATGTGTCTTTGACTTGAAAATATAAATTAGAAGGGAGTGCAGTGAAATTTTAGAATCGGGAGGTGTCGTTAAATTTCGACTTAACTAGAGGGGGTGTCATTGAATTTAGACCTAACTAGAGAAGGTGTGGATGAAATTTTCCCAAACATATTTATAAGTGGCATATTGTAACAATGATAGATAAAGTGATATGACATAAGGATAAAAATTAATTTTAAATAAAATAATAAAAAAATATATAATAATTTGTGATTTAACAAAAAAACATGGTCCTTAATAAAACGTAATGGCGAAATAGAACTTATGTAGCCAATCTCAAAAACACTCGGCAAGACTTTAGTTGGAATTGAGAGAGAATTCACCAAAAAATACAATTTGATCCTAAAAATAATATTTTTTATTACTAGGTTTAAAATGTTCAGATCCATTGTAATTTTTGATTGGATTTAACCTTCAATATTTATAACTTTTGGTATAGCGTATAATTTCACATCATAGTTACCTCTTGTTTACATATCTTTGCTAGAAAGCCTTGTGCTAAATTGCTAATAGATGAA